TTTATTTTTGCCTGTTGGAGCTTATCCTGCCACTCCAGTTTACTGACTTCGTGGTATTATCTCTCTTAATACCATCCTTGATAGCATCTACCATTTTTGAAAAGAAGAGGAAGAAGTTATTAACTTCAAACAGGTTTTTCAGATAGTCTTAGTGTAAATAAGTATTTATTATAATTAAATGAGTTATAATGATGGTAGAAATAAAAGCAATGGATTTGTTTGGTGATTCTAGCATTTAGCTCAGTCCCTACTCCTTTCTTATAGTAGTTTAGAGCAGCCATTGACCAAATCTAGTGTATTGGTGGCTAAGGGCTTATTGAAACTTCTTCTCCTCTTTACCTACATTAATAAGGAATCTTTTTGATGGTAAAGGACTAAAATTCAATCCAAATTAGCTTAATCAGTGAAGAATTTTTTTCCCTCTTACTATTTCATAGGTCGATTCTAGCTTTTGAAATGTCTGAATCAGGGACCTACTGATATCACTCAGCTGGTTTTCCAGAACTGCTTTGTTAGTATTGTCTTTTTTCTTGGATGGACAACTTTTGGTATTGCTAGTTATCTTTCACCACTACTTGTTCTTTCACGACTACTAGGTACTTCCCACTACAGTTTTCTAACCTTCAAATTGACTTTCTAACTGATCTGACCAACTCAGATCATGTACACATACCTGAAGTAATCATTGGGGTCAGAAGAATGGTATGCTAATAAGTTTAAGCCACCATCATGTGCTCCAGTTTCAGGACAGGGGAGAAGTCAGCTTTTATCAAGACATAAGGATTTCATGATGGGGTTGGGTTATAAATCAGAATTCAGTTACAAAGAGAATGGGAAATGACATGCTGCATAGTCCAAAACAACAAATAACTACTATATTAGGTGAAGTGGAGATTCAGCACCAGGAGTAACTCAAGTAATGATAGTTTATTCTTCTTTTTCTTTTAATGTGATTTTTTTTTTAACTGAATGAAGTTACCTGACATTGAAATTAGATTAAGAAATTAGATTATGGGTTCTCTCCACTATCCAAAAGTAGAATGTGCATGTTTGATATGATTTGGCAGATTTCTTTTCAGTGTGGGAATGTATTCCTTCCTCAGATTTTCCATATAAATCAATGGTAATAGCATCTGCATATTCAAAGATAGCTTATTAAATCATATCAAATAGGAACATACTACTTTTGTTTTTGTTTTTTTTAAGATTTATTTATTTATTTATACAAGCACTGGGTACAGTCAGAAGCCCTGGAGGGTGAGAGAATTCACCAGAGTCAGAGTGGGGAGCAGAGCAGGCAGAGGGACCGAAGTACACTGCTGAGGGGAGCAGCGGGCGTCAGGAGAGGTCTGCGCACCATGTAGGACCCTCCTCCGGTGGCCGGGGAGCAGCCGGGGATCGAACCAGCTCTGCAGAGGCTGCGGGCAGCTTCGCAACCCAGCACTCAACCGCTGCACCACCGGGGAGGCCCCCATACTACTTTTGGATAGTGGGTGGGGACAAACCTGTATTGCTAACTAGTTGTGCCAACTTCATATCACAGCTTGGATAACATTTAGTCCCTTAATGGAAAGATGCCTGTGTGCTACTTTGCCTTAATGATAAGTCTTTGAGTGACATAGTGAAGGATTCCCAAATATTTGTTCATAGATTAACCATGTCAGAACCAAATAAGATTCTTATTTCTCATTACAGTCTTTTACCATATGGAAATTTGGGTTGGAAGATTAAGTGTGCTGAAATTTGTATTCTTTTTCTCCATCTTTATAGTAGTTTCATTTTTATTCTTTCCCCTGTAGATTATTTATTTTATATATTTTTTACATCATTTTTCATTTTTTCACAATTCCTGCTATGAGTGAGACCATCCAGTGTTTTTCTTTTTCTTTCTGGCTTATTTTGCTGAGCATGATCCCTTCCAACTTCATCCATGTTGCTGCAAATTGCATGAGTTCATCTTTTTCGGTTGCTGAGTAATATTCCATTGGGTATATATACCACATCTTCTTGATCCAGTCATCTATTTTTGGGCATTTGGGTTGTTTCCATGGCTTAGCTATTGTAAATAGTGCTGCTATAAACATAGGGGTGCAGGTACCCTTTGGAATTAATGTTTCTGTGTCCTTTGGGTAAATACCTAGGAGTGGAATTGCTGGATCATATGGAAGCTCTATGTTTAGTAGGTCCAGAAATCTCCACACAGCTTTCCATAGTGGTTGGACCAGTTTGCACTCCCACCAGCAGTGCAGGAGAGTTCCTTTTTCTCCACATCCTCGCCAACATTTTTTGTTGCTAGTTTTTTTAATGTGTGCCATTCTCACTGGTGTGAGATGGTATCTCATTGTAGTTTTGATTTGCATTTCCCTGATTACAAGTGATGCTGAACATTTTTTCATAAGCCTGTTCTCCATTTGCATTTCCTCTTTGGAGAAGTTCCTTTTTAGCTCTGCCCATTTTTTGACTGGATTATTTACTTTGTTTTTGTTGACACTCTTCAGCTCTTTGTAGATTTTTGTCATCAGTCCTTTATCATTAGTGTTGTATGCAAAGACTTTCTCCCAGGGCTTCTCTGGTGGCGCAGGCAGTTGAGCGCTGCACTGTCAAGCTGTCTGCAGTCTCTGCAGCGTGGGTTCCATGCCGACCGGCAAGAATCCCACATGGCGCAGCAGACCTCTCCTGTCTTGCCCGCTGCTCCCCTCAGCAGTGTATTTTGTCAGTCTGCCTGTTCTGTTCCCCACTCTGTCTCTGGTGGATCCTCTCACCCTCCCACACATCTGGCCTGTACCCCGGTTCTTGTATAAATAAATAAATCTTAAAAAAAAATTTTTCCCAGTCAGTGGGGTGTCTCTTTGTTTTGGTACTCTCTCTTTTGCTGTACAGAAGCTCTTTAATTTGATGTAGTCCCAGCTGTTTATCTTTGCCTTCATTATCACTGCTTTGGGTGATGAGTCTTTAAAGATGTTGCTGAGATGTATGTCATGTAGTGTTTTGTCTGTATTTCCTTCTATATTTCCTTCTGTATTTCCTTCTTTTATGGTTTCAGGTTTTATGTCTTGTCTTTAATCCATTTTGAGTTGGCTTTTGTACAGGGTGTGAAGTAGTAGTTAAGCTTCATTCTTTTGCATGTAGCGACCCAGTTTTCCTAGCACCATTTATTGAACAAACTTTCTTTGCTCCATTGCATATTCTTTGCTCCTTTGTCAAAGATTAGTTGACCATAAATCTGTGGGTTTATTTCTGGATTTTCTGTTTGGTTCCATTGGTCTGTGTGTCTGTTCTGTTCCAATACCATGCAGTTTTGACTACTGTGGCTTTGCAGTATAGTTTGAAGTCTGGGCATGTGATACCTCTGTTTCCTTCTCTTTTTTTTTTTCCAGGAGAGCTTTGACTATTTGGTGTTTTTGGTGGCTCCCTATGAATTTCATCAATATTTGTTCTGTTTCTTTGAAGAATGTCATTGAAATTTTTATTGGAATGGCATTGAATCTGTAAATTACTTTTGGTAGGATGGCCATTTTGATAATGTTAATTCTTCCAATCCATGAGCAGGGGATGTCTTTCCATTTCTTTGTGTCTTCTATTTCTTTTAACAGAGTTTTATAGTTTTCTTTGCATAGGTCCTTTACCTCTTTTAGGTTTATTCCCAAGTAGTGGATATTTTTTTGTTGTTTCAATAATAGAAGGGATGGTTTTCTTGATTTCTTCTTGAGATTTATTGTTTGTGTATAGGAAGGCTACTGAGTTTTGTGTGTTGATTTTGTATCCTGCTACTTTAACTGATCCACTAGTTTAATTAGTTTTTCTGTAGAGTTTTTGGGGTTCTCTATGTATATTATCATATCTGCAAATAGTAATAGTTTAACTTCTTCCTTCCCTATTTGGATTCCATGTATGTCTCTCTCTTGTCTTACTACTCTGGCTAGGACTTCCAGTATTAAAAAGCAGTGGTGAGAGTGGACATCCTCGTCTTGTTCCAGATCTTTATTTATTTATTTTTTAAAGATTTATTTATTTATTTATACAAGCACTGGGTACAGTCAGAAGCGCAGGAGGGTGAGAGAATTCACCAGAGCCAGAGCAGGGAGCAGAACAGACAGACTGACGAAATACACTGCTGAGGGGAGCAGCAGGTGCGGGCAGGAGAGGTCTGTGCGCCATGTGGGACCCTTGCCGGTGGCTGGGGATTGAACCGGCGCTGCAGAAGCTGCAGGCAGCTTCCCAGCCCAGCGCTCACCTGAACCGCTGCACCACTAGGGAGGCCCTTGTTCCAGATCTTAATGGAAATGCTTTCAGCTTTTCACCATTGAAAATAATATTGGCTATGGGCTTGTCATGTATGGCTTTTATGATGTTGAGGTATGTTCCTTGTATCCCAAGAATTTCAAGGGCCTTTATCATAAATGGGTGTTGTATTTGTGGAAAGCTTTCTCAGCATCTACTGATATTATCATATGGTTTTTATATTTCTTTTTGTTGATGTGTTGGATTACACTGATTGAGTTTTGGATGTTGAACCATCCTTGTCTCCCTGGAATAAATCCTTCTTGGCCGTGGTGAATTATCTTAGGGATACATTGTTGGACTCTTGATAGCTAAAATTTTATTGAGGATTTTGCATCAGTGTTCATTAGAGAGATTGGCCTGTAGTTTTCTTTTTTTGTGTTGTGCTTGTTCAGTTTTGGTATTAGTGTAATGTGGCTTCATAGAACGTGTTTGGTATTATCCCTTCCTTCTCACTCTTTTGAGAGAGTTTATGAAGAATAGGCACTAATTTGTTTCTGAATGTTTGGTAGAATTCATTTGTCAATCCTTCTGGTCCTGTGCTTTTGTTTTTGGGGAGGGTTCTGATTACCATTTCAATTTCACTGATTGCAATTGGTCTATTTAGGTGTTCTATTTCTTCTTTATCTAGCTTTGGATGATTGTAGAGTTGTAGGAATTTGTCCATCTCTTCTAGGTTGTTGAGTTTGTTTGCATATAACTGTTCATAGTAGTTTCTGAAAAATAAGGAATGCTTCGCAAATTTGCATGTCATCCTTGCGCAGGGGCCATGCTGATCTTCTCTGTATCATTCCAATTTTAGTATATGTGCTGCCGATGCAAACACTGAAATTTGTGTTCTTAACAGGACCTAGGTGGTTGCATAACCAGGTTTGGAAGGACTGAATAATTTCCAAATAACTAAAGATTATGCCTCATTTGGGAAACTGCTGTGAGGAAAAAAAAATAAACTGAAATAGAATTGATTAGAAAAGACCTACCTTCCATTTAAGAAACTCCTTTGGTTTCAGAAAACAGGTTATTTGAAAGTCAGTGAACATTTTCTGAAAAATCTGACTTTTATCTCAGATTTTTATCTCAGAGTGGTGAAGGTAAGTCAGATTTGATGAAGAATCCAAATGTCATCTGTCATCTTTCTAACTCCCCAGTACCTTGTCCCTTTTCTTGTCAACAGGAAAGGATTGGCTGTTTTCTTAGGAACTTATAGAAAATTGTTTAAATGTGAATGGGCTGTAAAAAAAGAGTTTGCTATGTAGAAATCAGAATTTTTTTTGTTACAAAATCAAAAGATAATGGAAATGTGCTTTTCATGCAAGATTAAAATGTTTTTCCTAGATGATTTATTTATTTATTTATTTATTTTTTACAATTTGCTTACCTACAGAGCTCTGGGCTTTTTAGTAATTGTATTTTGAGATATTGTTTCTGTCCATGTAAGCTCTATGAGGGTAGGTACCTGATTGTTTTGTTCACAGATGTATCACTCGTTTTTTTGGAACATCAGTGCCTATTGACATATTTAATGTTTCCACAAATACTTGTTTGTTGTTGGATTACTAGAGCATGTCTTCTCTTTGTTTCTGTGAAGAAACCAAGAATGCCTGACCTAATGTTAAATGATAGGGTATAATTGGTAATTTGTTTAAATCTGTGCTACCTCTAGTGCAGTCAGATAACATTTTAAAATTATAAGTAGTACAAAGATATAGGTGGGTTTTCCCTTCCTGCTGTCTCCAATTTTTTTAAGATTTTGCACCTTCATTAATTTTATCTTTTTTATGATAAAACCCCCCTGGGATTGGGTGAGGCGGAAATTATTCTCACTTTGCAAATGAAATTTTTTTTTTTTAAATAGAGGCATGTTTTATTTATTTGTTTGTTTGTTTGTTTGTTTTGTTTATACATGCACTGGGTACAGTCAGAAGCGCGGGAGGTTGAGAGAACTCACCAGAGCCAGAGCTGGGAGCAGAGCAGGCAGAAGGACAGAAGTACACTGCAGAGGGGAGCAGCAGAGGTCTGCGCACCATGTGGGACCCTCCTCCGGTGGCCAGGGAGCAGCCGGGGATTGAACCGGCGCCGCAGAGGCCGCGGGCAGCCTCGCAACCCAGCGCTTAACCGCTGCGCCACCGGGGAGGCCCGCAAATGAAATTTAACCTTAGGGAAGTTTAATGAATTGCCTAATAGCATATAGCTAGTAAGTGGCAAACTTTCTGATCCTTAGGAAAAAACACCAAAATTGTAGATAACATACCACGAAGAGAAGTGTTACCATAGCACTTAGGAGAGTGCTTTGTACACAGAATGTTCTAAATGGAAAATATTTAAATTTGCTGAAAAGAATGGGGATTAGTAATAGAATAGGAAGCTGAGATATGAAATAATGAAAGGTATTAAGAAGTCTATTTTTACTAGATTGGAGAGGGAAGGTAAGTCTTATTTCAAAAGCAGTGATCTCAAATTTGACATACAAGAGCTAGAAGCCAGTTCTTTGAACCTGCAGTATATTATTGCAAAGTTCTAATAGCTGCCTGCTGAAATATCTTTGTTGGATTTGATATGTCTGGAAAGTGTTGATAAGCAATCTAAGCTATGAAGCATGGTGATCGGATGTAGAATAATAATGAATAGTTAGCTATGGTGATTATTAATGACATTGTTATACACATCACTTAACATTAGACAGTCGTTTTTCTGGATTGTTAATGAGGTAAGATACTGGGTGACTTTGGGTTGATGTTTAAAAAAAATCCTTGTATTTGGTAAAGGGGTTACTGTCTTATGACAGAAGTAAACATTCATCAGGGGCTAGTGTGAGAGGGAATTTGACTAGATACAAGGAAACATTTGGGGTGATACAGGTGTTCTGTATCTTGATTTGTGGTGGTGGTAGTTATACAGCTGTGTGTTTGTCAAAAGTTCATAGAGCTGTAAACCCTGAAAAGGATGCATGTCATAAATCATCCATGAGTAAGAGGTACACTCAAAGTGGATCAGAAAAAAAATAATTATAATAAATTAAAAATTAAAAAACAAAATTAACATAAATCAGAGAAGTTCTACAGGGGAGGGGTAGGGAGAGGGATCAAAACAGGGGCAGATAGAGTACAGGGGACTATGGTGATGGTTCATAGGTGAATTGTGGGTGGGAATTTTACAGGGACTATACCTGAGAGGAGAAAGCATGCATTGTGCAAAAAGGAAGAATGATGTAAAATATATATACAATAAAAAAAAGTTGGGGGCCTCACCGGTGGCGCAGGGGTTGAACGCTGGGTTGCGAAGCTGCCCGCGGCCTCTATGGTGCCGGTTCGATCTCCGGCTGCTCCCCAGCCACCAGAGGAGGGTCCCACATGGCACGCAGACCTCTCCTGCCGCCCGCTGCTCCCCTCAGCAGTGTACTTCGGTCCTTCTGCCTGCTCTGCTCCCCGCTCTGGCTCTGGTGAATCCTCTCACCCTCCCGCGCTTCTGACTGTACCCAGTGCATGTATAAATAAATAAACAAACAAACAAATAAATAAAAATATATGCCTCTTTTAAAAAAAAAAAGTTGGGGTTTAAGTCTCCTGTTTGTTTTGTGCTTCTTTGCTTTTTTGTGCCCGTTTCCTTTTATTCTTTTCCTTCTCTAAATGTTTTTTATTTATTTATTTATTTTTTAAAAGACAGTTTATTTTTATTTTTTTAAAGATTTATTTATTTATTTATACAAGCACTGGGTATAGTCAGAAGCGTGGGAGGGTGAGAATTCACCAGAGCCAGAGCGAGGAGCAGAGCAGGCAGAAGGACCGAAGTACACTGCTGAGGGGAGCAGCGGGCGGCAGGAGAGGTCTGCGCGCCATGTGGGACCCTCCTCCGGTGGCCAGAGAGCAGCTGGGGATCGAACCGGCACTGCAGAGGCTGCGGGCAGCTTCACAACCCAGCGCTCAACCGCTGCACCACCAGGGAGGCCCCTCTAAATGTTTTTATTTCTTCATTTCTAATGGATATTTTCAATGGCTATAGAATTATGGGTTGACAGTTCTTTTGACACTTAAAAATGGTGTTCTACTTCTTTCAGAGGTTTCATATAGTTTCTGATGAAAAATTTGCAGTTTTCCAATTCATTCTTACCCTGTAAGTAATGTGTCATTTTTCTGTGGTTGTCCTCAAAATATTTCTTTGTCTTTAGTTTTCAACTTTTTTATTGCAGTATCTGGGAATGGATACTTTTGGGTTTATCATGTTCAGAAATGCTGAACTTATTCAATCATTAGGTTTATGTCTTTCAGAAAATATGGCAGGTTTTCTATCTTTATTTCTTCAAATTTTTCCCCTGCACTATACTCTTTTTCTTGTCATTCTGTAACTCAAATAACAGAAATGTTCCCTTTTTTAATGTTGCTATATAGATCCCTGGGACTCTTCGTGTAAAAACAATTTTTTTTTCTATTGTTAAGATTGTATAATTTCTTTTGACTGCTGCTGTGGAACTTCTTGACTGTGTGTTTTTAATTTTGGTTATTGTCCTTTTTTATTACAAAATTTTTGTTTAGTTCTTTCTTTTTATTGCCTATATTATCTAACTTTCCATTAATTAAAAATGGTTACCCTTATTTTTGGGAACAATTTTTTAATAACTGTTTTAAAATCTTTGACAGATCCCAGTCTGTGTCATTTTTGTGTAGTCACCTGTTTTAGCTTGTAACTTTTATTTTTAATAATTGTAGATTCATAAGAAGTTGTAAATATAGTGCAGAGGAAGACTGCACACCTTTCATCAGTTTTCCTCCAATGGTCATATTAGTTTGCTTGCATTTTGGTCAGAGAACACACACTTTGATTTTAATTCCTTATGAATTTATAGAGGATTGAAGTATGGCAAGGATATGTTCTATCTGTTTATGAGCACTTGTAAAGAATATATTTTGCTGCTGATGGATGAAATGTTTTATAAGTGCCTGTTAATTCTGTTGGCTTATGGTACTGTTGAGTTTTCTTGCTGCTTTTCTTTCCAGTCCTATCAGTTGAGAGGAGTTTTGTCACTAAAATTATGAATTTGTGTATTTCCCTTTTTGTGTATTTTTTTGCTTTATGTATAATGCAACTTGGTCTAGAACATACACATTTAAGGTTGTTATGACTTGGTGGATTGATTTTTGTCATGTAATTTTCCACTGGTAATATTCTTTGATGTGTGGTCTACTTTATTTCATAATACTATAAGCACTTCAGCTTTCTTATGATTACAGCTTGTATGATATATCACTATCATTCTTCCAACCTATCTTTATTAGTACATTTGACATGAATTTCTTATTTATAGATAGGTCATATTTTGTTTATTGCTTCTGTCAATCTCTTAACTTGAATTGCTGCTGTTTGATGTAGTTGTTGTTATGTGACAAATCTACTTTTGTCTGCTGCGAATATTATATATATATTTTTCAGGATACAGAATTCTAGTTTGACAGTTTTGTTGTATCTTTTGCCAAATTAGGGAGAAATTTTAGTTTCCTTTATTTAAGTCCATTTTAGCCTGTTCTCTTCTCTCCTTTGGGTCTCCAGTGATATAAATTTTGAACTTTTTGTTACAGTTTTACAGGTCTCTGAGCCTCAGTTCTTCTCTGCCCCCTGCCATTTCCCAGTGATCAAAATCTGGTCTTAAAACTTGTATACAAGATTTATAACATGATGACGATTAGCTGGTGTTTAAAAAATGTTTTTATACTACTGCTAACTAAATGTGTGGCATCTGTTTATTCTTCCCCAAAGAAAAGAATCAGACACTTAAAAGACCAGTTTTTATTTTTTAACATTTATTTATTTACGCATGCAGGAGCTGGGGTACGG